TATTTAATTATCAAATAAAGATATCTTGATAAAATATGATTTGTGCACATATGAATCACTCTGCGAAATTTTTCCGGATAGGCCCTTAATTGCTCATAGCTCCTATATAAAGTCCACTTCCTAAAGTCACCTAAGCTATTGGAGTAAAATTAGACTTGATCTTTTTCTGCATATAAATCATTATATGAAATTGTTTCATGATCAGTCCATAATTGGTCACAACTCTCATATTCTATGTATAGATACATCATTCTGTTAAAATGTTTTCGAACTGGCGTATTAATATACATTTTCTGGACCTAATCAAAATTAGTTCGGCAAAAATTTTGGCAAGTTATCTAAAAATTAGATAGATAGATGGGTTTCAATAAAAAGTAGTTTGCTGGTGGAGGGTATTTAAGATTCGGCATAGCCGAATATAGCACTCTAACTTGTTTTTTCATCAATTTTTATGGAACACGTTTTTCTTGTTCTTTTCTAATGATGCATGGTTGATTTGTAAAATGATTTAAATCTTATTTGAGATTTAAAGATTTTCTTGTCAATATGAAAATATTGTTTTGTTCTGCCTACATACGGTTATTGTAAGTAATTTACGTCTAGAAAATGATTACTTATACGTACCGCAGGAAAAGTATGACGACGAAGTACTTAACTCAGATTGCTTTTTAGTTCACGTACATACAGTTTGAAAAATCTGCCACAAAAACATGTTAATTTAGATGTAATTTGTGCAAATGTGGTCTACCAATCTACAGGAAATAATAACACGAATTTTGTACTTTCAAGAAAAATCTTGAAATTAAACACAAATAAGATTTATATATTAAAAAAAAATACCAAAAAACAAGCAAGCGTATTATTTATATTCGACAATATCGAATACTATATATGACCACGATCAAGACATGTGTCGTAAATTAAAAGAAAACAAGTAAGAAAGTATAGTCGGGCGTGGCCGTCCATATGATACCCTACACCAGTTATGAATATTAAATGTGATTTATTTTTCATAATAAAGCATTTATCTTCAATATTCCCTTGTTCCGATACATTTAAGCAATTTATGGATGAAAAACTAATTTTCTGAAAGAGGCTTTATATGGGGGCTACGGGGCAAATATGGACCAAGCATAACAAACATAATATTTTATTGTGCTGAATTTCATCGCGATATTTGTGTTTATAAGTTAATTTGGGACATTCAAGTAATTTTCTGAAGGGGACTTTGTATGGGAGCTAGGGTCAAATGGGGCCCGATCTTTATGAAATTTGGCAGGGTCATCAAGACTTCTATAAAACTTAGTTGTGCCGTATTTTATCGATATATCTGTATATTTAACATAATTATGAGCTCAGAAGCCCTTTTCGGGGGGTTCTGTTCTATGGGGGCTAGGTGAAATAATGGACCGATTTTAACCATTTTCAATAGGCTTCGTCCTTGGGCCAAAAAAGCGTGCATGCCAAATTTCATCCAATTATCTTGAAAATTGCGACCTGTACCTTGCGCACAAGGTTTACGTGGACAGCCAGCCAGACGGACGGACGGACATAGCTTAATCGACTCAGAAAACGATTCTAAGCCGATTGGTATACTTTAAGGTGGGTCTAGGACAAATATTTTTGTATGTTACAAACATCAGCACAAATCCAATATACCCTCCCCACTAAAGTGGTGTAGGGTATAATTAAAATTTTCATTTAAGGACGGTGCTTCATGTGTTTTGGTTCACCACTATAGATAATTCAAAAGGTACTATTTGAAGAATAAAAAAGTACAAATGGTAAATTATAGTATCATTTGAGGGACGTAACAAACAATTATCTATTAAAGAATCTTATTCAATAAGGATTCATGTTATTATATATAGAAAAAGTACTATTTGAGGAACGAAAAAATACCAAAGAGTAAATTCTATGTGACGATAGATTCTCATTTAGTCATGTTAAATTTTATGTTTTTAGGTTCAATATTAAAGAAAATACAAAAAGTACCATTTGATGAACGAAAAAGTGCCAACAATTTCCCTCTTATGGGTTCTTATTATACCCTACACTACTTTAGTGGGGAGAGTACATTGGATTTGTGCTGATGTTTGTAACACATAAAAATATTCGTTCTATACCCACCTTAAAGTATACTAATCGGCTTAGAACCATTTTCTGAGTCGATTATGTCCGTCTGTCCGTCCGTCTGGCTGGCTGTCCATGTAAACCTTGTGCGTAAGGTGCAGGTCGCAATTTTTAATATATTGAAAATGGTTAAAATCGGTTCATTATTTCACCTAGCCCCCATACAACAGAACACCCCGAAAAGGGCCTTCAAGCTCATATTTATGTTAAGTTTTATACGAACCTTGATGACTTTGCCAAATTTCATAAAAATCGGGCCTCATTTGACCCTAGCTCCCATCAGAAAGTGACTCCATAAATTGCTTAAATGTATCGAAAACAAGGTTGTATTGAAGATAATTACTTTATTATGAAAAATAAATCACATTTAATATTCATAACTGGTGTAGGGTATCATATGGTCGGCCACGCCCGACTATACTTCCTTACTTGTTCAATATAGTTTTGTTTCTATATTAATATTGGCAAAATTAAAAAAATACAATTAGAACGATTATAAAAAAAAATAGTACCATTTCCCCCCTTTTCGCCCTGGAATACGCTTTTCGTGAAATAAGTTTTCAAAATACTCCTTGTTTGAATCTATATATCACAGATAAAACTAAAACGATACAAATCTGCTTTCATATGCTCAAGAAAATTTTTGTTTCAAAAAGCTCCAAACTATTTACATGAATTTAGTCCTATATAGATAGTTCTTAGTACCCGAATTTCAGAATAACACACCAATAGCTTATTTTGTGTGAGTAAATTAAAATTTTTTTTGATTACACAGGTTAACGATGAAAAACTTTTTAAATAATTTTCACTAATTCCAGTGTTATTCTGAATATGAAAATAAAAAAGTCTTATCACCCACTAATTTTCCACATTTTCATCTTTTAGTCCTTCTGAATGTATACAGGAGTACCAAATATAAAATTTTTTAATTTTACAGAAATTGCGAGTCGTGCCCCCACTGCCTCTATAGTCTAAACTTATACATTAAGTTACGTTATCTGTTGACACAAGGGCTCTGAAAAATGTTGGAACTAAATTCATGTTTTTGTATTTTAACTGCAAATAATTGGAATATGTATGAAATTATCGTTCCAATAAGATATGAAACACAAAATGTTATTACAAATTCCTCCGATCCTTTAGTGTCTGAGAAACATTAAAAAAAATTAAAAAAATTTGGGAAATATTCTAATAAAATATACCGTATTTGCTATCCAACGTAGACCGTATTTGGGGTATAGTCATAAATGGAAAACCCATCAGACGGCAGTTTGATAAAAGATTCAAAACTCCAGTTTGAATCTTTTATCAATTTTGTCAAGCAAATTTTAAAATTTTTAGGAAAATCCTTATGTGATAAAGAAGGAATTAAAATATTAAAGAAAATAGGTCGATATCTCATATTAGTGGTACCTTCGATTTTAATTTTGAGGATTTCGGAAAATCAATTTTTTGGTCAAATTTTTCTTTTATATAAAGCTTTTTCGGATTTCGAATTTTCTTGAAACCATAGTCATATATAATTTTTTTCAACCGATTTAAATGAAACATATATAATGAAGACCCGTATTTACGATGACATCGAAAAAATCGAAATTAACCCTTAAACGTAAATATATTGTTATAATTATATAAAATGTCCGTAATATATGAATGAAATATTCGATGACATTTTGTGAGAAAGAAAAACTGATATCCGATTCGGTTTCAGCAGATGAAAATACATTAAAATCAGTCGAATTGGTTTCAAAAGTTTGCACAAATCTTCAAATTGTTAGCCTGTGTTATTCCAAGTGTCCGTAAGGGATTTTGTCGCGCATGTTTTTGACTCAGTCCTCGTTAAGGCTTTCTTACAGTCCAATACGAAATCAGGGCGCCAGATTTCGTGCTAATTGCCTTCTGACTGTAGGTAAATACATATGTACATTAACTTATGTTGAGACCATATTTCGGACTTCTGCCGAAAAGCTAATGTTGTGATTGGGTAGACGGTCTTCATATGTGGTATAATCTTTCAATTCGGATCAGAAAAGAGCGATTTAACTTGAGTTAACCTCTGGACCGAAACATGTTTGGAAAACCTTCCTAATGTTAATGTGTTTCTTTACGAAGGTAATAAAAGATGAACTGACTGCTTTATGGCCAACGTACAGTATGATAAAAATTTATTTTTTTAAGTGTTACTTTTTTACTTAAGCGATTGTACATTCTCAGACTTTTGACCATAATTTTTTTATTAAAAGAACACCTGTATCTTTAAAACTCAAATTTTAAATTCGGTTAAAACTTCAAAAATAGCGCTTTTAAATAGTAAGTTTTCCCCTTCTTAACTTCTAAGAAGGGGAAAACTTAAATTATATTCGTACTTTATCGACTATAACTAAATGGAAATGGTGTATGAGAACCCCAAGAAGTTAAGAAGGGGAAAATTAAAATTATATTCGTACTTTATCGACTATAACTAAATGGAAATGGTGTATGAGAACCCCGCCATTTTATTTTTCTTCAATTTTATATCACAGTGTTATTATTATTAATTGCACAGGTTGAAACCCTGAGACCAAAATAAACTTTTCTAAAGTTTTCACTTAATTTTTAGTCATTTTTAAATCTTCCTTCGGATTCGTATTCAGCGCCGCTCAATCCTTTAAAAAATTGTTAGCCTGTGTTATTCTTGTTAATTATGATACATTGTTAAACAATTTTTGTACAGAAAACTAGTTAGCGGCTCCTTTTGTTCTTTTTATACAATCTGGTAATACTGACAAATATTCAATATAAATATAAAACATCTATTGATTGTTTTTCAAAGTAATTTTGAAATAGTATGTACAAATGCTCTTTATTTATTTATTTTCTCTATTTAGTTTTTAATCGAAATTAAACATCTACAAAACAACAATACAATAAAAATAATAAATAAATACATTATAATCGAATTGAATTCGAATCAAAGAACAGTCAAAGTTTCTGTGAGTGAGTGAAAATTCCAAAAAAATACTCTTTTGTATCTGCAAAAAATATTCAAATTCAAACAAAAAATACAATTTGAAAAAAAAAGATTCAAAAAGATGCTATAAAACATAAACAAATAAATAAATGAAATTGAATTTTTAAAGTAAATTAAATAAATTTTACATTTACTACTACTGTATTGTTATTGCCACAATTAATGCCAGCCAACAAAACAGTCAGCAAAAGTGTTTATTTGTTTTTCCTACACATGATTGAGATGAAGATGCTGGTGATGCTACTACCACACAGATGCTGCCACAAATAATTGCTGATGCTGCTATGTTACTAATACGACTACACGACTTCTGCTAACCAAATAACCAAATCGCTATTATTACTGCTGCTGCTGTTGTTAATAATAAATGTTTTTGTACAATAAAAATAAAAGTGAACAGAATTAAATTAAATCAATCATCACTTTTCAGCTTTATAACCCATTGTTAATGACAACATTATCAAAATACACTCGACACGAACTGTCTGTCTGCGTGCTAGCTTACGTCCAGAGTCAGTGAGCGAGTTTCCTATTGCTATTGGTGGGTTGGGCAATAAAATAAACCGACTTTTCGTCATTATCTAGACAAAAATATCGTTTGTACAACAAACAGCAACAACAACATTTTTAAATATCCCATCGTTATTGCCGCTGTAGCTGCCATTTATTGCCACTGCATTCAAATATTGCTGTGAGTTGCTGTTAATATTTATTCATCACAATAAAACAACAATAATAACAACAACATCATCGTCAACAACAACAATAACAAGAATAATAATTGTTTGTTTGGTAAGTAAATATTTGAAATATAATAGAATAACTAGAATAGTTGCTAGCATTTTAATTCTCCACTGACGGCTTTTCATTATCAAAAACAACATACATATGTACGTTAGCAAGTATGTGTATGTGTATCGGAATCGAAATTATTATAATAAAACATTTCAATTTCTGTTCAATCGAAATGTTTTCCATTTCATTTCATATTGATAGAGAAGAATCATAAAAACCAATGAAAAACAAACTATAAATGAAACATTTCATTTTAAATGTTGTTTTTGCTTTAATTGCTGCTTAAATAATAAAAATTGTTTTGTTCGTTGAAAATAATTTAAAAAACATTAACATCAAATATTTTCTTTACACTTGATCTTTTTTGAATTTTTTTCCTTATTTTTTTTTTAGCAATAAAAGCGTATTTCCAATTGTTTTATTTGAAAGCAAAAGTTTTTTTTTTGCGAACATTTTAAGAGTGTTTACCTCTTATGTTTTCACACAAAATCAAACAAATACTTCTTCGAAACACTGTTTCCAAACAAAAATCTATATTTATAAAAAATAATGTCAAAAGATAAAGGTCCAATGTTTTAATTGCAAACAAATTCTCGTGATCCAGAGATACTGACATAACAAGTTAAATAAAGATTTTTAAACATTATTAATTCAGTCTTGAGTTCGTATCCCACTTGATGAAAATTTTCCAAATTAATAAGGTAGTTTTTTTACCTTCCCCATCTTGGTGTGATTGCAATCCGTGTTGTTGATTAAAATACTTTAACATGGTGAAATCTATTTTTTTTTAGATAAGTTCGGTGTTGCACAGTGGTATAGGAAAAAAAAGAGGGAAATAATTCGGTAACTTCTAAACGGTTAATCCGATTTTAATGAAATTTGGTATGCACAAAGAGGAGGTGTTGTCGAGTTTAGGTTTTGAATTTGGACCTTATAGGCCAACCAGAGGCCCGGCGAGGGGTCCTCAAATTAGGACACCTCGGCTAAGTTAAATTTTTAAAACGATCCTATTACTTCATTTGAGTTCCGATCGTAGCAGTAAATTATCTCTTATAGTTTAGGAGATATTCGCATTTGAAAATTAAAATTTTAAAATTTTTACCGTCCTTACTTTAGTTTTTTGATAATAGCGGGTCCAAATATTCCCGATTTTCGCCATTTTTTTTATTCGCTTAACAACAAGTTTATATATCAAGCAGTGAAAGAATTATGTAGAAATCATGACTGAGTCCAAAGTTATAGGCATTTTAATTTAAAAAATTTAAAATTTAATTAATTTTGGATTTTGAGCAAAAAAATCTACCTAACTGTAAAATTTCATCAAAAAATATTCATAAATAAAATTTTTATTGCAATTTGAAAATTTGTATCTTCGCAAAAACTGAATAAAAAACATTTTTGAATTTTTTTTTTAAGTATTCCGCGAATTTTTTAATTTTCAAAAATTATATACAGTTTTGAAAAAATAGACAAAATTACCTTTCCATTGATATATAACATGCCTACCTAATGTTTTTTAAGTGACAAATTAATTAGGGAAAACTCAACATCTTTTAAAGAATTTACCTAGTACTATTATTTTCATCCATATATGTAACAAATTTAAGAGTTAACCTTTTCATCAAAATCGGATTAACCGTTTAGAAGTTACCGAATTATTTCCCTCTTTTTTTTTCCTATACCACTGTGTGTTGTTGCCGAAACGACAACAGATATCTATCAGAGAAGTGACTGTGGGGCTAATTTCCCTTCCATTTCAGAGTTTACTCTGTTCATACCAGACTTGCCGCAGTGTATTCTCTGTGAGTAAGAATTCTTCATTGGCTTTTTTGATGGATTTGTATTTAGGTCTACCGATTACGTCTTTAAGAGCGGTTGCTGAACCAACAGAGACCATCCTTTGCGTAAACGGAAATAATTTTTTTGCATATCGGAAATTAAGCTACGGGTCAGCAATGGTCAGATATTAGATAGAAGTACTCGAGCAAAGTGCTTGTACGTAAATCGGCAGAACCTTGTACAAAAATTGCCACAATTGACTTCCTCCCTGACTTCCTCCCTATATTACTTGGGCTCCACATTAACTCAAAGATTCTAGTATACATTGGCTAAGCAGATAGCAATTTAAAATTTACCCTTGACTGTCATAATTTATAAGGCAGTTTTAAAACGAATTATGGCAAACGGCATTCCAGTATAATACTTATATAGAGGACCCAATCCAAAATTCTTAGAACCATGACGCGATCTCCATAGTATATAAGAAAAGTGAATATCCACATAGACTTCGAAGTACCTATGGTTAAAACGAATTTAGAAAATCTCGTGAGATGTATATTAGGGATAACCAAAATTAGACTCTATCACAACCTGGTACTGATCTAATAACGAAAACCTTTTTCTTGGATCATTTTCGTGCAAAAACCTTCCCGTCAAACTGATTTTCTAAAACTAGCTTTTTTGCGTGTAAATGTCGTGGGTTATATAATGACGAAAATGCCTGATATTTATCAAAAAAATCTAAATTTTCAAAACCGATTTGAAATTTCAAAAATTGTATAAAAGTTATAACACTAGTGTATATATCTTACATTTTCATTCGAACCCTCTTGCGAGGTTACTTTCAGGATCACAAAACCAACCAAGGCTACGTAGAAATGATTAACACTTTTCATCCGAAAACCCGTATTGTATATACTCATTATTGCCTGCAATGTTATAAAAAACGATAGTTATCTTTAAAGTTAAGTTTTCCGAGCTTTCGGTTCATATGAATAATGAATACTAACTGTATTTGTCTGTCACTTTGAGTTTCACACAAACATCAGCTACGAAAAGATATTGATCAGCAGTGCGGTGAATAGCGTACCGCTGATTGCAATGATACTAGGGATATATAGATCTGATAACAGTGCACTCTCTGCCTATGTCATGACAGAGACAGAGACAGAGAGTGCATCTATTTTTGTGAACTTCTTGATTTCGATATCAATTATTTAGATTTTTATGAATATTCGGTACGTGAATGTCCTCACATTACAGACTGCAATTCGTCTTCAATTTTTCATGAAAAATACCGCTAATTTCGAAAGTTTTAATTTTGACTCTTATAAGTGATATGGTGTCCAAATATTGTAAAAATTCTTTAATTTTACTTTAAAATATTTTGTATTACTTTAAAAAAATCTACAACCATATTCTTCTGGTAACAAATTAAGCAATTAATATATTTATGTATAAAAGCGGAAACAGTGTGTCGCCTTTAATGTGCCCATAAATAAGGACTGCAAAATGGCATGTATTTAAATTTAACATCAGTTTTCTTTTTTGTTTAACTTTTAACATAAATCATGGTTATACAATTTTCTTCCCACGTCATTACAAGTATTTAACCTTCTTAATGTTGGTTTTAGTCCTTTGAGTAAATATAGTAGGGGGTGTGAAAGAGAATTTCAACAAATTATTATTTTTAAATCTTTTGTAGATGTGGGTATGTGTTTCAAAATAATCCCGTAGAGAATAAATAGGACATTATTATTAAATTTTCACTTAATTAAAAAAAAAAAACAAAATATGTATATTGTTGTAAAAAGTTGGAAATTAAAATTATGGAAGAAACCAGAATGTTAGAATTATCCAAAACTATTGCAGTATCCTCGCCATAGCAATAAATTTACTCAAATACACTTTTATATGCCAAAGTTTATGTTCCAAATTCTCTATTGGGTTTCAAAGTGTTTTTCTTCGAAATTTAATGATTCCAAATCTACCTGTAGACTGTCCAAAGATTTTCTTTTTCTAATAAAATATGTTTTGTTGTTTTTATAGTTTCTATTCGAAATATATTGGTTTACCTACATATATACATTTGCACATTCACACAAACACCACAATATGTGGGTTGTGGGTAAAGTTGGAGTAGATAGGATATGCTTTAAATATTACAAACTATAGAAGCATGTCTTATGTAATTAACATTAATAACACTTGTCTTAAGATTGTGTTAAAGTTTAATGTTTTGTATGTATTTACTGGCCTTAAACCTCAAATGAATTTTGTGGCAAGATGTTGTCATTAACAATAATTTACTACTTACCATAAGATACTCACACTAAAAAACATTCATACATTGGTGGGCATAATATTAGGGTAATTTTATGAAAAACATACAAGAATAATCAGCAATTTGTATATTTAAAACATATCCGACATATATGGATCAAAATTGCCCAAAAAACTTTGATGCTTCAACAGAGAACGTTCTTTCTTTTGTCCAAATGTTTAGCAGTATATAAGGTATAAGAAAAAGTTTCCATTGTAATAGATTTGTTAGAGTCATTGTTTTTCCATGTCATTGTGTTCCCGAGTTTTACTGTCTTCACCGTATGCTCTACATTTGTCTGAATCAGTTTGTTTAATTTTGTTTCGTTGTGTCTTTAAAACAGTCCACTAAGAATACATACCATTACACTAACCTCGAACTGAGGAGATATTTCGTTGGGGTCACCCCATTCTATCGCCCATTTTTTAATTCGTCTCTTTTTACGTCGAACGGTTTTGAATTCATCAGGTTAACTGCATCAGGCTCCCATATGATGCAGATATACTAATCAGAGAGAATATTTGGTTATGACTCTCTTGCAGTCCAAACGGCTTAACCTTAATAGTAGATATCGCCCTAATTGCCTTCTAATTGTCGGAATACGTTTCACACATTCCGTGATAGTATGACCTTCTGCCTGGAATTTAATGTTGTGATAAGCAACACTGTAGTCATGGCTGCCAGATTTGACGATTTATCGTCATTTTGACGATTCTTCGTTTCAAAAATAGCAAAGTGACGATTTGACGATTTTTTCCTTGAAACTGACGATTTTTGAAAAATTAAAAAAATTAAAGATTTTATATTTTTATTATTTTACAGTGAAAAAAGGAAATTAATATTAAACTTGGAATTCAGTAAAAATAGAATTTATATGATAATGAAAACTAGAAAT